TCCGAAAAACATCTAAAAGAGCGCAGGTAAAAGGAACAGAATAATTTTAAATAAATTAAGAAACATTTAAGAGAGAGAAGGAGAAGAATTTCTCGTTTCGTTCCTTTCTTTTATTTTTTATATCCATTAAATGATAATTCTTTGATTAGTAAAATAAGTGTGCACGATATATCTTTCATGAAAGAAATTTTTACATAAACAAAAAATGCACGCAAAGCCAATATTTTCGTAATCGAAATAATTCACGGGAAGGAATGCAGTTTACGGAAACGAAAGGGTTAATGCTGCCGCGGTCGGTCTTTCTCTCGTTCGTTTCTACTCTTCGTTCTCTACCTGTCAGGTGTTAACGGTCCAGCTGACTGGCTTAACGACCGCGGCGAGAAGAGCCGCATTTTAGTTGCTGATGCGCCTCTCTCGGTGCGTTCCCGTTGCCAGCATCTCGCATCTCGCTGTCGATTGTCGTCCAGTAGGCGGCTAATAGCCACCTAACGTTGAAAATAATAATAGGGGGCCAGATTGTATCGGGTGTCAGAGCCGAAACAGATCCGAGAACGCCTAGAGGTCTTTTCCTTGCAGCTTCTCCGAGCGACAAAGCGGCACGTCAAAGCAAAAAGTCTCGTGTAATATCGTGATTTATGATGTGCTATAATTCTAACGTCATTTAATGTATCAATCATGTCGCGCGACACAAGTAATTCTTGTTCCTGATAGGAATCTTACTCCTATTTTAAGTACTAATATTAAATCTAGTCTTTCGAAAATGTTATTCGATTATAGAGTTTCATAGAGTCTTATTGTTTCCATTTATTAGTAATTAAGAATTAGATATTATATAGTATTTTACGTCTAGTAATCTTCGTCTTTCTTAAAATGATGTGAATAGTGAATAGCGTTATTAAATATTAGAAAATTAAAATTTGTAGGTCTAACACTCCTCTATTTCACGCGGTGAATAGTTAATAGCACGTCACGAAGAGGATAACAAGGGCAGTCAGATATTTGATGTCGGTCAAAGAAGCCTATATTTTTTTCCAACACATTTGGAGGATATATAGGAAGATTCCGCCTAAATTACTGTGTGATACTTTAAATTGAAATCAACAACGTATATAATTTAGTTGTTGATTTTCTGCAAATTCCACATGACGTAAGCGTGCTGTTGTGTCTGCAATCTGTAGCATCTTTGGCTCAAATGGATAATAAACGGATAATAACTTGTTTGACAAATTTTATAAATACATAACAAAACGTACATTGGAATCGCAGAAGTGTATGTCATATTAATAGAGAGCAATGTCTCGGATTTATAACTCATCATTTACTAACTTTAGAGTTCGCCCTGTCACCCTTTCGTGCAGTCAGTTTAACGCGTTTCTCTCTTCGCATCTCCCGTCGTTCGGAAAGAAAGAATATCGTGCGTCATACGGTCGTTAATCCTATTGCTACCTATTCCTCGTTTTCCGCTTATTAACTCCCTGTGATTGCTGTCAAGTCCTAAATGCTCAAACATTCTTTGAAAGAGAGAGAAAGAAATCTGCTGGATTCTCATATAAATTGATAATCACCTTAAATTAAATGTCAAACAAAATTAAAATATGTCAATGATTTCTATTGTTTATATTGATAAACAGTGATAATATGAAATTTCAATTATATTTTCTTCCTTTAGTTACTTGATAATTTTCGATATTTAGTTTTAAGTATATTATTGATTTTGACAAAGAAAAATATATACATTTGATCAAATGTGAATTTTGAAAGAAAATTTAGAATTATGCAGATTATTTTATTACAATTACAAATATGGCAAATTATTTTCAATGTTTCGCATTTATATGGCTTGGTCTTGTTTTTTTATATAAATGTAAATTTTTATAATTTCATTTTTTATGAATACAGGAATTATATGAAAAAATTTTATATAGAAAATTGATAAAATAAAATATCTTATCATTCTAGCATATTTAATTTAACACATACATATGTGAGTATTTAATTAAAAAATTTAAAAAATGTTTGATATTATATTAATTCTCTCTCTTCCTTCATTTAAATTAGCATTTTGTTATTTTATTGGATTAATATATTTAAAATCGATTTTTCATTATATTGTTGGCTTCTGATAATTTAGAAATTTCTCTCGTCGACGGAAGAGTATTACCTATTTGTGATAGAAAGGAATTCTGTTTCAATTTTCAGAAGAGATGCATAGCATTCTCGGAAGGTAAGAAACACCTCTAACAAATATTGATAAAAATTTCAGAGAATTTACATTTTTAAATATTTTGTAATATCTCTCTAAAAATTATAAATATAGAATAATTAAAGAAATAGATAATAATTAAGAATAAAAATTCCAAATATTGCATTTTTAAAAAGATCAACTTTTTATTTTTTTTTCTTTGATCTATATTAAAATTCAAAACTTTATAAAAATTAATTATGACTATAACTTATTTAATTATTCATACAACTCAGTCTTAACTTTTACAAATAATCGTTATACGACTAAGCATAACGCATAAAATAATTATTTTCTAAAATAGAATAAAAATAATTTCGGCTTATATTAAAATATTATTTTGTTTTTTAACGATATTTTAAATATCTCGATTTTATTGTAATTTTATTTAATTTAAAGAAATTACTTTCGATATTTTTTATAAGTGAAATATGTATTATAGAAATAGAGAAAGACTAAAAAGACGAGAGAGATATTTATTGATCTAATATGGTCAATATTAACAATTGAATAAATTCCTAAAAAAATCACTTCGCAACACATGTTTAAAAAGTCATTTTGATCAAACTCTGATTAATTTAACCGACGATTGACTTATAAATCAAATAATATTTGTATTTTATTAATATTATTTTGTTAATATAGAATTATAGATTAAAAACAATGATTTATAGAGTTAAATTTAATTTCGTAAGCAATTTTAGTTAAATTAATTATCGATTAAATTAATCGACGTTTGATCAAAATAACTATAATAAATTTTATTTTAGTGGACAATACATAATAATGAGAACTCAATCATTTTGGTTATAGTAAACTATTTGTTGGTCCCATAAATCTCGAATTAAATCATTGCTTGAAATTAATATTGTTCAGTGCATTGCGCGGAAATAGAATTTATATCTATTTCTATATAAATAATATAATATTTAAACATATGTCTTTGCTTAAAATCGAATATATGAAAAATAAATATTGTTTAAAATGTTAAAATTTTAATTTAATAAAAATAAGTATTTCAACATTTATATATTTTTAATTTTCTATTTTTAAACATTGCAACTATTTATTTTATGTTTGTATTCGTGTCTGAATACAATTATTTGACGGTAATGTTATAGTTATATTAACAGTTGATCTTTTCATTTCTCAGATTTCTCAGAGCTCAGATATTTAAGATAACTTTTTCGAAGGGATATATTATGCCTTCTTAATTTATTAACTCTATTACTATTATTGTCCCTGTTGCAGCACGATTACAGCAAATATTTAACGCACATACAGATATATGTCTATACATATTATATATGCTATAGTAATCGCTTTAAAATTATATATTCCATCCTTTAAAAGATATTATGATTAACATTTTTATCGTCATTGTTATTATTTTAATGATGTAATGATTATAGAATATTCGCAAATGAAATAAAAATTTGAATAAATTCTCAAGAGAGCAAAAACACAGATGCAAAGAGATAAAAATAACGATGTCACGTACATATCGATTTTTTTCAACACATTTATAATCTAAATATATAAATTTATATTATATATATAAATTTATAATATATATACATACTATATATAACATGATTTATTTTATTCTACATACAATTTCAACGTGCACGAAGATTATAGTGAGAGAAATTATCAAGAAGATTTTTTTATTAATTCTTCGTGGACGCTTAAAACAATACAACTATCTCGGTGGGAAATCTGCAGATTGGAATCCGCAAAGATCTTTTCGCCCGTGAAATTACATGATTGATCATGTATTTCATTCTTGACATATCAAATCCTATCAATCGTTCGGTCAAAACATTTCATATTCAGAAATAGAATGTCAAATAATAAATGAGGATCGCGCTTATACATGAAAGATTCGGGCGATTCGAGAAAAATTTTAATCGTGTGCAGAATTAAACGTGAAAAATAATTGCGTTAACGTCTGACGCACACTTTTGCGCTTTGTCAAATATGCGACTTTCACTGCGCAATGAACTTACAAGGATATTTTCTAAGGAGTTCGCGTAGTAACATCGACGGTGCACGAGCGAAAGTGGCACAAGGCAACACATAATACTGCACATTTACTATGCTGCTAACATGCAGCATAGTAAATGTGCTCCCAGCGGCTTGCAACGACTGACTTCTAACGATTGTTTTAAGAGGCATTTCTTTGTACGAAATGAATGTTGTAATCGACAAGTCACTAAAATATTTCAACGTATATGCATCGCTTTAGAAAATTTTCAACGTGTTTTAAACTGTACTTATTATATATACTGACAATAATTTTGTGTCCAGTTTTATATAATAAATATTATTATAACATATAATATATTAATACTCGCATAATAACATGTAAGATTTTGCGCGAAGAAAGAAGGCTTATGGCAATTGATTTTATTTGAAAAAACGATTTACTTAAATCAATCAAAATTTAAAAATCCAACTATTGACCCATAAGATTTCCTTCTTCTTCAAAATCACATTCCCATAAGTAACAATATAACAAGTATCACGTATTTAACTTATAAGTAACATTTTTATATTACATTTGTGTTGAGTGTTTATGGGATTATAGCTCTAACGAATTTTATAATTAGACATTTGTAGCATGTAAAATACTCATTGATTAATAAAATATCGTATTCATTGATTAATAAAATATCGTATTCATTGATTAATAAAATAAGAAAGCATACAAAATTTTTAATAATATAGAGATAAACAAAGAGAATAAAGAAACAAGATTCTAAAAAAAAATATGTTGCGAGTCTAAATTTCCTCCAAATGTTTAATTCAACACATATAGTAATATTCTACTAAATTAATAGTAATTATTGAATTAAAATATCAAACTATATCAGAAATATGATATGAATCAAATACCTACTGCTAATAATTTAAAATAAACGTCACATTTAATCTTGCAAACAAGCTTCAACACTTTTGAAAATCATCACTTAATCACTTTGAGGATTTCAAAAATTATTGCAAATATCATAACTTTTCGTTGCTTAGTTTGGGTCTAATGTCACTCATTGCTTTAATCTATTTGGTCCTCGACAGTCGCTGGGCATAAGAAAAAATCTGCAGCTAAGATTGATTGCAGGTAGCAGGTGCCAGCGATCTGCAACCGCGAGCTATCTGAGCGCGCCATCACTTCGGAAGCGATTGCTCCTCTAGAACCTCGTTGGTTCTTAGCTTGATTTCCTTCCAGGAATACTGTATATCCTTGCTCTCGCTAAATCGAGAACAAACGGCAAATCGTAAGAAGTAAGTATCTTTTATCTTTGATGGGACGAGATGAATATTTCCCGCACCATTAATTCGCTTTAGGAGGATTTCATTAAGTTCATTGGATCCCTGTAAATCATGCGGAATTATTTCTTATATCTATATGCGATTTGCCAAAATGCTATACATAATGTTTCATAATTTGTTGTAATATTATTAAACTTTTAAAAATACACTCGAAATAATAATAAACTTACCTTTAATCGAAAACAAACCAGTCCCATGAGAACTTCACCCACGATCTCAAAACGAGGATCAGAGAGTACTAGCGCCTCGAATTCATGTGCTTGAGCAATGTGCGATCTGATGTGTTTCTGAAGATTTTCGACCCCGTACAGCCTTAACACGAACCAAAGTTTCAGGGCTCGAAATCTGCGTCCGAGTGGAATTTGCCAATGCTGTAACAAAATACACACCAGTTAATTAACTTAAAGGTAGTACTTTGCAATCGTTTCCTAAAGTAATTTTCTTAATTATCTATATCAAGGATATATCAGCTCAAGGCTATCAGCAAAGTTTTAGGTAGACTGAAATCGAATTAAACAATTTTCAACAGATAATTACCCTGTAGTCCGGTGCCGAACCTTGCATATCGTGCTTTAGGTACAAAGGATCGACATTGAAGGCATTTATAACGTACGTCGGATCCTTGAGCCACATAGTGGAGCAGTCAAAATTAACTAGCATCCACTTATGTGGATTAAAATTAAAGGAATCCGCCAGCTCGATTCCTTTCATTAAATATCGAAATTCGGGACAAATAAAAGCAGAACCTGTAATCAAGTAAATTTAAATTAACTATCGTTATTTTGCGCGCGACAGTAGCATAAAGAGATTTATTTATACCTGCATAAGCAGCATCCACGTGCAACCAGACATCTTCGCGATTCGCTACAACGCCCATCTCGTCAAGGTGATCGAAGGCGCAATTAACGGTTGTGCCTAAAGTAGCGACGGCCTATGATAAAAGAAACTCTTATAATATCGAGAATTAATATATCCTGTATTATCATATTAATCATTATAAATATTTGTGTCTTCATCAAGATTTTCTTGCATTATTTTATAAATTATCAACTCTTTCAGCTTTTGAAAGAAAATAGAAATACTGGAACATGATAAGTGATTGAGATAAATCTTAATTAAGCTAGACTTACGTAAAATGGTATAAGTCCTTGCTCCTTATCCTTTCGAATTGCTTCGGCCATTGTGTCACCCCGCAGCTTATATTTCTCATCGACTTCTAATTGTGTGAATTTTACTCCTCCGAGAAGTCCGGCACGTTCCACTGAACTATGAGCTTGACCTAAAGAATACAATATTTTACAATTAAATTATAATAATTTTAATTTTAATTGCCTGTCGAAAAAATTTAAAAATTATTTTGGATGCCGCTTCTTTTTGCTATTATATTAAATTACGTTTACGTGATTGCAGCATTAATGAATTATTTATATATAATATAAATATATTTAATATTTAAATATATTAAAATTTTTTTATATAATATTTAAATATAATAATATTTAAATATATCTATAAATATATTTATATTGAAAATTGTAATAACTTGCATTTTTTTATTATTGGGATCTGCGTTAAGTAAATAGATGAATTTTATTAATTATTACAAATTATTATGAATAGAATATGACAGTTTCGAGTATTATTTTTTAAAATTATTTTTATATTTTTATATTTTAAATTATGTAATGTTTGGTAAAATATTATAAGTACGTATTTTAATATCTCTTATCGATAACGATGAAATTGTCACAATTGTGGCATCTTTTCCAATTATTATAGATATTATTATAGAACAAAAGAAAATAAGAAATATTTTATTCTCTGTGGACAATAATTCATTAGCTAAGAAGCAATATAGTTTTGTTCGATCTTTCTGATCGAAAAAGTAACTCGTCCATTATATATATTCATCGAAGAAATATATATATATATATATATATATATATATATTTTTTTTTTCTTTTTTTTAATATTAATGGAGCGCCGTGAAATTATTGTGGGAATTGAGAATAGTAGAGAAAATTCGGTCTGAAATATAACTGGAGCGGTTATTACGAGTTGCCATGACGACAAAGTGCTGCTTGATGAAGTGCCGTGAGCCCCCTATATTCACCCTATCACTCCATCCCCCTCATTCTCTCTATTCACGTGCCTTTGATTGCGCCCGGTCACTGAAAGCGACCGGACACTTTCAGCATATTGACACGCATCGACGTAATGCAATAAGCACAAATGAAAAATTGCATGGAAATTATACAACACTGATACATTGTGTTAGCTTTGATGACAGCTCGTTAAAAAAATATAATCTCTCGTTCAGAAGAATTTATTAATCAAATGAATAAATTAGTAAATTTATTACTTTTGTTATATTTTGACAAAGCGATAAATTTAGAAATTTTAAATTTATGTTGCATGTCATAAAGCTATCCATTTTGTTATGAAATTCTTTTTATTTATCATAGTAACATACGCTTAATTTAACGAACATATACGTATGTGTAAGAAATCATTCTAAAAATTGTCCTAATAAATTTGCAAATAACATGTGATATATTAAAAATTAATTTAAACGATATTTATATAAAGATATTTTTATAGAGATAGATACTTTATAAAACATATTTATTCGTGTCTTTATTGCTATTATATGTATGACTCGCACATTCGCACTAGCTTACTTAATATTGAAGTATATGTCACAGTTCAAGTGCCTATTAAAATCAATGAATTTCACATCTAATTGTACTCTAGATATATTTCATGCTATTTTTCATTCGATAAAAATAAACGAGAATAGTTGATTGAGAAATAATTTATATGATTTATATGATTTATACGTCCATTTTATATTTTATGTGATATTTTATTTGATATATATAAAATTATTTCTGAAATAAAAAAAAACGCACACACACAAGTTGTGTCGAATAAAATTTTGACAGTTATCATAAATTTTCGGAATATTAATGGAAGATACTATAACAAAATGATTAAGGATACTTACAGGAACAGTATGCGACTAGTTTGCTGATGATTTCGATTTCCGTCCAATCAGGATGTTGCTCTTTAACTTGTTTTATCTTTTTGGCCTTCGCTCCAAGTAACGCTACCAAGGTAGCTTCGCTAGCAGTTCCCTGTAGATGAAAATTGGACATATTATTCTTAATGATATCTTCGTTTATCTCGCAAATGACACTGTCATCTAATACTTAAAAATAGCTTTAAGTAGAGTGCAAAAGCGCTGTTAAAATGTTGTTACCTGAATAACGCCGCCGCCTTTTCCACCGCTGCAAGCAAGAAACTCTTTTGGTAGGTCCAACATTTTCCCTAGCCAGTCTAACATGACTACCTCTAATTCGGTACAAGCAGGACTCGCAATCTAGAATTAAAGAAAATTATATGTCAAAATTAATTAAAAAGATAATAATTTTAGGCTTAGATTTATATTTTCCAGTTTATTAAAATATTTTTTTATTAGAGAAGAAAGAGAGATTTTATTACAGTTGATGTGTGTGATTTAGGCATTTACATCTATAAATCGTAAAACAGAAATATGCAAAACTCATAAATACTCGCTCAAGATATGACAAAAATACTTAAACTTTCCAATTTTACAATTTTTTACACTTACCCATGTGAACCCAATACAAGCAATAGCTCCACTTAACATATCAGCCAGAATCGATGGATAGGATTGTGCAGTAGGAAAGTAGGCATGAAATTTTGGACTATGCCAGTGAGTGACCTGTAAACAATTTTATCTTGATTCATTTGTATTACTTACATATAGAATAATGTTGAAAATATCGATGAGAGAAAAAATAGGTAAATAGATAAATTATTTAAATAAATTGTTTATGATAATCTAGAACATTTAAAATTGCTTACACCTGGCATTATCACTCGTTCTATATCAGCCATTATATCTTTCCATTGCTCAGGGGATTTTGGTGCTTCGGAGGGCAAAAGAGGTTTTATATATCCCGGCTCTACGGTAGGCAAAACTCGCCTAGAAATTAAAAAAATTATTATTCATAAAGTATATATATATATATATATATATATATATATATATATTACAAAATTATAAATAGCATATAAATTATTTAATATAAGTTTATCACATCCAAACAATTTTATACAATCACATTATTATTTACCTGTCTCTAATATTTTCTAAATAATCCGTGATATATTCCGCCATGTCTTTGGCGTAATCTTTAAAACTATCGGGATCCATGATTTGCTTCTTGTCACCTGTAATATATATTCAGACAAAAATAATTATTGATACAACGATGATAAAAATCCATTCAGTTACGTTATTTTAATGAAATGGGTGCGGTTTCGATATCCTTCACATATAAATATGCATATGAAATGCACTTTGAATGAATCTGATACACGTGTTCTAGAATTCTTATTTATCTTTCAAGAACGTTTATCTGTTTTGCATACATATGCGAATGCATAATGCTTGCATTTTATTACAGATTCAGCTCAATATCGCTTTTTTTCTAGTGGAGTGATTAAAATTATCTTATCTGTATATAAAATATGTATAAAAATATGTATAAAAAAATGTATAAAAAATCTTCCGATTTCGTGTTAAAGACTGATACAGATGGCGATAAGAATCTTGCTGCAATGCAATATTGTGCAGTAATAATTGTAGTAATAATTTACAGAAAATACGTAAAATATAAGTGAGGTTTTATTAAATTCAAGGAGACGAATGCTAAAATAAAAACAATGATTGCAAATAAAAAGTGAAAGTAATACTTGTGCCAGTTTCTATGATTAAAATTAATTAAATTGCTCTGAAATTACATCAAAATAGTGCATCATTTTTGCATACATATGCGAATGCATAATGCTTGCATTTTATTACAGATTCAGCTCAATATCGCTTTTTTTCTAGTGGAGTAATTAAAATTATCTTATCTGTATCTAAAATATGTATAAAAATATGTATAAAAAAATGTATAAAAAATCTATGTATAAAATATGTACATAAAAATCTATGTATATGAATGTAGAATAATAGCGATTCAATTTCCGCATACATTTCGATTACGTGTTAAAGACTGATACAGATTGCGATAAGAATCTTGCTGCAATGCAATATTGTGTGCAGTAATAATTGTAGTAATAATTTACAGAAAATACGTAAAATATAGGTGAGGTTTTATTAAATATAGGTGAGGTTTTATTAAATTCAAAAATCTATGTATATAAAATATGTAAAATAAAAGAGATGACTTATTGAAATAAATAGCAATTTTCTCTTTAATCTTTATAATTTTTATTAACAATAAATTGTGAAAATTATTAAGCAATTTCTATATCTTGTTTCTGTGTGTGTGTGTGTGTGTGTGTGTGTGTGTATGTTTGTTTTTTAATAAGGAAACTTTATATATTTATAAGATTCATATTACGCAACTTATTACAAGTAGCAATTTTATCTGCGTCATATCCCGCTTTCCATCATTTTCGTAAAAAGGCAAATGACGACAGAAATAAAATGTATATGTGAACATAAATATGTTTGGCCTTTCAAACGAAATACTAACAAGTTAATCAATAATTAACGTAGCTACCAATGACGTTAGTCTTGAGAAACTACACAGTAAGTGAGAGAGATGCATGTGTATCGTTGCCGGATAGAATGTCTCGATAAAATCGAAAGTGGAAGGAGAAGGACGACAAGATTGAAAGAGCGTTCGCGACGATTAGTAAAATTGCCTTCGTAAAGAAGTAAGAGTGAACTCGCCATAATGACCATGACTCATTTTCGTGGAGCAAGTTTCTTTCAAATTGTCACCTGTTTATAAAATGATGTGATTTTTGTTTATTACGGTTTTTTCGCACTCGCTATGACGCACTCACAGAATTTCGCGATTCGAATTTTAAAAGTATGATCGTACAAATAAAAATTGAATTTTGACGATAAATCCTTTAGCAATGTTATTATGTGCTTGACTTGCATATAGCTAATAGAAGATAATTCCATATAGACTTTTGCTTGTCATGTAATGATATCGTTGTTCTCGTTTCAAGATATCGAATCATTCCTTGCAGGGTAAAGGCCTTAGCACAGTCAATGAAGAAAATAATGCTTTTACTATCTTTTCATTATCGCTATTGAACTGTTTTGCACAACAATATTATCATTATGAAAGAATTACTTACATTATAGAAATCTATGAATAATTTAACATTTTCTTTTATTTCTTACATACATATGCATATGAAAATATATATTTTTTTTATCAAAATTGCTTAAAAATTGTGTAAAAATTAATCATATTAATTAAAACCATATTGCTCTCAATATTATATAATAATATTAATAGCAATAAAGTCAAAGAAAAAAAAATATGGATAACATTATTACATATATTTCGGAAATACTTGATAATCACGGAGATAAGAATTGTTTCGAAAATAATTAACCACTTTCGAAATGCCTTGATACATCAGAAGTAGGGTGTATTGAAACGAATGATTTCTCACGCGAGGAAATTCCGCTTGGGGAATTCCCTCTTGATATTCTAACGATAAATATTTTCCCAAAGAAAAATCCCAAAGAAAATGCTTACCGCATGAATACATGAATACATTAGAGATTACGAGTCGCATCGAATTACTTTTGATTGAGATAGTTTATTATTAAAATCATATCATGTTTATGAATCTCGATATTGATGAAATATATTATTTTTATGAGAATATTATATGTATCAGACAACTATTTCACACATATGTATGCATCATGTGTACATATAATTGTATCTATTAATTTTTTGACTTGAGAAAACATTAAATTTTAATACATTTAAAGAACTATAATATTGAATTATGTAAAACGTGTTGCTGCGTATTTCGTGAAATATCTACCTGATTGATTTTTATTCCACGAAAAAATTTAAATAAAATGTCAAATGTCAATTTCTCTTTCTTACATCAAATCATTTCTTACTATTCATTTTTTACAAAATAATTAATCCTCATTGTCTAACTTTGCTTTACGGAATATTTTTCTTATACTTCTATTATGATATATTTATTAATGTATAATTTTTTCAAACAGCTTCTTGGAAATTCTATACTATTTATATTTTGCCAGGCATATTTTTACAAATGATGAAAAATCTGCTTTGTATAGAATATTTGGCGAAATTACAAGAAGGTTTTGTTTAAAATATTACAGATGGGAAAATTAGCAGCTGTATATATCCTCTAAGAACATAATTATAAAATTAAATATCGAATTAATAATTATATTTAATAATATTATACTTATCGCTCACAGAATATTTTTTCGTAACAGAGAAAGTTTTCAGTGAGATGTAATATGACATTAAATAAAGTACATATTAAATACTTTTAGATAAGGAAAAAGATAGTGCTCATCTTTAACTTAATATCTTATGTTATAAATGTTTTTCCAGATATCAATCGAAGTTGATAAAGTTTCTCTCGTATCTCGTAATATGTATAAAAAGGACGAATAAAGACAGCCAGAATACACTCTCGCGCTGTATTTATATGCATGTCAAATATAGCGAGCATCGAAAACGTTACTCTTATTCAGTAATTATCCAGGCAACTATTTATAACGCGAATACGATGTGTGAAAATAGCTCAAGAATTGAATAATCTAATAAATAATGTTTAATATCCTTTTTTATGCAAAGTTTAATCGTTTCTCTCGAAATTGTAAGAGATTAATTCAGCAAGCTGATGTAATTATAGTGTGCTCTTCAGTCTACTATGTCGGAACGGAAGGTTTAACTAGGCGAAAGTTCAATAACTAGCTTTAGATATCGTGCGAGCTTAGAGACTAGCACTATTATAGTTCACGTAGATTAATCAAAATCGGAAGATTTTCGAAATTCTATTGATTCTTGTAATTAATCGTATATAAAAGTAACTTAAAAATTGCATATCTTTTATTTTCGCGCGTAAACGATTTATTGAGCGTTTTCGATAAATAAGAAATTTTCTAAGACTTTTCGATTAATTGCAAAACTTATCGAGAATTCGTTGGCTATTATTTATTTTGTCAATTAATAATTAATTAAGATACAATTATAATTATGACGTTACAAGTTAAAATCAAACTGGACTCATGTATTTCTCGAGCGAGCCCAGATGATCCCTCTTGACAATGTCAAGTGTGACGTTCACTTTTCGATTAATTGCAAAACTTATCGAGAATTTGGCTATTATTTATTTTGTCAATTAATAATTAATTAAGATACAATTACACTTATGGCGTTACAAGTTAAGGTAATTATGCAGTATAGGGGAGCCACCTCCGATTTCAATGATTTTTACATATGTCATCAAGGTCATCGCCCTGATTAATGTTCTGAAGGTTTTAGTCGGCGGTCGCTGTTTTTTAAAAAGTTATTAACGAAAAAAGTTTAATTTAAAAAATTGTAAATTTTAATTGTTGGACGCTTCTTGTATGGATGTATATATACATACACACACACATATATATATATATATATATACATATGTATGTGTAGATATGTCTCTATATATCTATATGTGATTTTATATTTAATACAGAGTATTTACGTTTTTAAAATAGAGAATTTGCACGCACGTAGCGAGATTTATCCTCACGACTTACAACTCACGAAACGCGAAGTAAACTAAGTTTGTTTACGCTTTTTATACTGAAATGACGTATCGAAATAATACGATTTAGTCCTACCTCTCCAGTACAAGACAGATTGTTGTAGAGTTAACATACATAGTTAATGTACAGTATAAAATAGAAAATGAAATTCTACGAATTTCTCAGTTTAACAACGAAACATGATCAGTTACTAAGCTATTTGTGTGCAAAAAATGTAATTCGTGAAAAAATCAAATGTCCACGTTGTGAAAATATAACGGAATTAAAGGATTCATTCACTTATGGCGTTACAAGTTAAAATCAAACTCGACTCACGTATCTCTCGAGCGAGCCCAGATGATCCCTCTTGACGATGTCAAGTGTGACATTCACTTTTCGATTAATTGCAAAACTTATCGAGAATTTGACTATTATTTATTTTGTCAATTAATAATTAATTAAGATACAATTACACTTATGGCGTTACAAGTTAAAATCAAACTCGACTCACGTATCTCTCGAGCGAGCCCAGATGATCCCTCTTGACGATGTCAAGTGTGATATCCACGTGTCTGCGGATGACAGGACGGTGATTCCGCGTGATG